CATCTTAATATGTGATATGTGAAAGATGTGTTATCAAGCGTACTTGCAAGCGGACAGATGATTACCAAATAATCACAGACAAATATTAACAAATGGACTTCTAGTAGACTGTGGGTAACATTACTTAACCAATCTGACGCAGTTGTTTAACTTTTTTGATACAACTGTCGAGAAACTGAGAGAAATGTCAGACGCGTCCTCTTCATCAGCTTGAACGTGTTCCCGGTTGTCATGGCAACTCTCAACGGTCACCGGTACTGTAGGCTACATAAATAATAGTAGTTAAAATGGTTTTATCATCTTTCCAAAGTTCAGGTTACCTTTACATATATCTATAAACTTTTATAAAAGCGGTTTACTCGTTGTAAAGTATTAGGACTCTCACAGTCTCACCTCAGACAAATGAATCTTCGGTCAGACGCAGCTGAAGATAAGTGCAGGAGAAAAACGCGTTGTCCTGGTTCAGTATCTGCTGTCAGATGAGATTATGTTATGTCAGTGTAGTTATTCTAACTTTATTTTCGTATCTTGTTACGAAATAAAGTCTCTCACCTCAGAAAAACGAACTGTCCAGTCAGACGTTATACTGTGCGCACGCAACTTGAACGTGGAGGCGCGCGCGCTGTATATTACCGGTACTAAATTATTATTATTTTTTTTACTTGTTGAAAAGAAACACATTTTATCTCAAGGGAAATTTAAAGGGGTCATATGATGTTGCTAAAAAGAACATTATTTTGTGTATTTGGTGTAATGAAATGTGTTTATGCGGTTTAAAGTTAAAAAAACACATTATTTTCCACATACTGTACATTATTGTTTCTCCTCTATGCCCCGCCTTTCTGAAACGCGTCGATTTTTACAAAGCTAATCGTTCTGAAAAGCGAGGTGTGCTGTGATTGGCCAGCGGGCGTGTTAGAACGAGCCATTTTAGGTTGGCGTGGTTGACTCTTAACTTTTATAAAGAATATCTCTTTGGATTTGAGACTTTAGTCTTTGCAACTTTACAGATCTTCTTTATGCACCAAGAGAATTTCTTCATTCTTTCCAAAGAGAAAGGAAAAATTGAAATCGCATCATATGACCCCTTTAAATTTTTCACTGACGTTTAATTACAATAGCAAATTCTGGTCATCTGAACACATGAAAAGAATGTGTAATTTGATGGCAATTAAAGTAAGGACCTATGACGTTGCAGTTACATTGCCAATAAGTCATGAAATTACTAAAGTGTTACCAATACTGTACCTAACTGGAACGTTCTTGGTTATCTTATGACTTTAGGAGGCCGTGCTGGCGACGCTGTGAGGAGGTAATACAAGTTAAAAGTGAATCTAGTGGTGCCATGCCATGAACCCTACCTCCACAACAAACAGAACCAAAACGAATCGAGCCTTGGCTCCAAAACCGTCATATGAACCGAACCGTGGCATTGGTTTATTGTTACACCCCTAGTAATGTGTTACAGCACACTAACCTGCTCAGACTTCTGAGCCTGTAGGTGAGAATGGAGCCGGCGGATGAGCGGCACTCCATTACGAGAGTGACGCTTTAGCAGCCAGTAATTGTGGAGCCTCTGCATAAACTGATTCTTCCTGTCAACAGAAACCCCTGTGCAAATCTTGTTGAGCCTATTTAAAAAATATGACAAAGGCCAACTGTTAAATTCTAAATGAAACATTCACAACCTATTTTTCTTCTGTTATGTTACATTTCTAAAGTAACACAGGATATTCAATTGTGTTGATTTTTTTCCATAAGGATTGTAAAAAGTGAGTGTTCAATACTAGTATAGTCAGCCAGTATTAAGAACGACTTTTTTAACAGGATGAGAAGGCTGAAGGTCAAGTTCACCCTTAAAAACATCTTGATGTATCCCAATATTAATGCTTTAAGCATATATTTGTTTGCCATTATTGCCATAACATTTATTACACTACGACCAATCAAAAGCTTAGGGTTAGCAAGTTTTTTTTTTTGAAATACGTTTCTTATGCTTGATCAAAAATAAAGTAAAAATAGTAATACTGTAAAATATCATTAAAATATTAAATAACTGTCAATGACAACGCTGAATTTTCAGCAGCCATTACCCTAGTTTTCAGTGTCCTGATTTGGAGCTCAGGAAACATTTCTTATTATTATCAATGTAGAAAACAGTTTTAAGGTTTTTCTGGAAACTTTTCAGCATTCTCTGATGTATAGAAGATAAAAAAAAACGCATTTATTTGAAATAGAAGTTGTTACAATGTAAAATTCTTTACTATCACTTTTGATCAATTTAACATTCACTAGAATTAAGTCACTTCCACACTGACTGAAAATAAGGTGAAGATAAGGTTCTGCTACATGCTTACAGTGAAGTAAGATCAAAAGACCAGACATAACAGACAAATGACCAGACGAAAACATTTACCTAAAGGAAGGTATCTGCGGCACCAGCAGGAGTGGCACTCCTGTCTTCCGTGAGGCCCCTGCCGGATTCTTCCGTGTTTTCTTCTGTTGTGCGGCTGAACCTTTTTTCCGCCCATTCTGGTTTTGCTGCAGCGGAGGGCCTAATGTGTATGACCTCTGACCTCTGTTACCCCTGCCCCCAACCAACCCGTTGTCTTCATCCCCCTCAGTGCCTGTGCCAGGAGGCAAGTGGTTCTCGCAATAAGCAGTCTTCTTCACAGTAAAAGTAGTGCCATTGGCACCAGTCTCCCGCACAGGGTCTATTTTCATATAGAGACCGGCTCTCTGGGCACAAGTGACGTGAAACGCCCTGTAGCAGTTCGCTTTGTGACACTGAATAGATGCCCCCCTGCCTTTCTGTTTGCACAGGTAACAGGTGAGCTTCCATCGTGCAGGAGGAATGTTCTTCACTCCCTCCACGGGCTCCAGGAACACAGTGTTGGCGAAGCACACTTCAGGGATCCATATAGCACAGATGACGTGGGCCCAACTTCCGTCGCTGGTTTGCTTGAACGCACCTCCCTGATTCGGGCAGAGAACGCAATCGACGGGGCGCGATGGGGACTGCAGACAGCGCCTGCACAGCCACTGGCCCTCAGGGATGTAAGGCACCCCGTAACATTCCTGATGCACGGCGAGGTTACAGATGTCGCAGAACAGGATGACGTTGCTGTTGAGACACTCGTCGTCGAGGCAAACGCAACAGTAGGCATCCTCGTCGATAGTGCTCTGGGACAGCATCTGGCTCCGGGACTCCAAAATGGACTCTCGCTCAAGTCGGTCAATCAGTAACTCGAATGTATCAGGGGGGACCGAGGCGTGTCCATTGGACACACGCTTCTGATTGACCATCTCTAGCCAAGCCATGTCCTCCTCGTCCATGTCATACTCTGCCTCGTTGTCCAGCTCCTCACCTGACTTCTCCATGTAGCGGTAATAAGCCACAGGAAGAGGAGGAGCCTCTGAGGCCGTGAAAGTGTCCACCTTACGAAACGTAGGCTTAGGCAAGGGGGTTTGGATATGGGCGACCTGGTTTTGCAAGCTATACTGAGAGCTCGATTTCTTTTTGGCTGCGTGTTTGCCATCTTTCCGCTTGCTTTTAGATGCGGCTTGTTTGTTTCCCCGTCTCTGCTCACTGTTCTCTTTGTTACTGTTGCACTCTGTCAGATCCTGAGCCAGCATCTCGTCTTCGGTTACGACAGAGAGCTGCTCGCAGATGTTGATCCGGTGGAGCCTTCCTTCCAGCTCAGTCTCCACCATTTTCTGAGCCTGTGCATATGTAAGTGTGTCTCTGGTTGTAGAGAAGTTCAGTCTGCATGGAGAAGGTGGACAGAGTAAAGTGTCCATGTCAGCATGGCTGGATGGACCAACTTGACCCAGATTGTCTCCTCTGACCATTCCTCTCCCAAAGCCTCCAGCCCTGGACTGACCAACTCGTTTTCTTAACTTCCTCATTGGAGTTGTCCTCTTAATGTAAATAAATGCTTATTAAATATTTCTTACAAATATTGAGCAGATATTGCTGAAAAAAACTTAAGGCAAGAGATTACAGGCAAAACCATTTCATGCACTGGTCAATTTTGGGCTATTGCTATATTTTGCTTCTATAACATGTCTTCTTTCAGACTAGTGGAAAGAAAACATCCAAAACACACATTTAAGTGTTTTTTTTATTACACTATCTATTTGCATCAGTAGATTTTAATTAGATTACATAATGTTAAGGGCGTTTTCTCAAAATGAGTTTTTTTTCTGATGCATTGAGACAGAAATCTCTACTTCAGTAGCATGTACATACACCAATCTTTCCAATTTTATTCCTGTCAATATTCGAAAGTTTTTTTTTACAGAAGAGATTGTTCATGTATCATTTGCATGGTTTTTATAAAAATTTTATTCCCCCAATTTGTTTTTTTTTGGCTGTTGACAGTATCTGATTTATGGAGTGATTAAAAAAACATCCAAAATCCCCTCTGTAAAAAAACTGAGTCTAGTAAGTCAACAAAAATAAAAAACAATTCTGGCTTTATCAAATTTTTATCAAAGAAATGCATGCAAATTATTGCATATATCATTAGACAATGCATCATATGCATATTTAAGCATAACAAATATAATACAAATCTGTCTCAATGCACTGTGATTTATCAAAGCAAAAGATATGGTGATATCATTAGTTAAAATGTTTACCCTATTCACCTGTAGTATCTTGCCTTAAAACATAAAAACCTTAGTCCTGAAAAGCTTCTCAGGTTGTTTTTAGCAATTATAAGAGTGTTAACATCAGCACATAATAGAACATTAACTGTAAAATGTAGCAGCTACTCTGCTCCTTCATAGTGTGTTTGCTGTTACATAAAAAGTAAAAGCTTTATTGTAAACAATAAACATCTTATTACCACTAAAATGTGCAGATACACATTTACAGCATGCATGTCACTCCATTTGAAACATTGGAAATAAATATATATCAGGCGAACCAATAGGGTGCTTTGAACATATCACGTGAATAATTCGAGCCAATCACCGGACAGACCTTCAATGTTTCCTCGACTCAGTTGACGTAGTTCGGTTGCAGAGCGCTAAATACCAATCCTGAAGCGAGACAGGCGAGTCAGCCATTTTAGCAGGACTGATGGACAGTCTCAACCTTGATTGTGTTTCCTGATAACAAACTCTGACGGTGTATATATCTTTTTACACTTTATCAACCAAACGACAGATAACTGCATATGACGCTATAGCTATCTGCAAGTCGTTTGCATGCAATGCCGTGTGCGTATCTGCAGAGAAAAAGCACTTCTATGTAATAAAGCGCCGTGTAACGTTACTGTCAGCAAAGCAGCTAGTAAATGAGCGCCTTTCAGTGCTGGAGCCATATTTAGAGTGCAAGCAAGCAACCGCAGCGCTGCCTGCCCCCGCGACGTTAACGTACTCTTTATAGAAAGCAGTGCAAACTTACTCTTTTATCGATCGCTCGAAACGAAAGAGAATGCCGGTCATATTCAGGGGCGACAGCGTCCTCTTCTGTAGCAAGACGGGCTTCCTCAACCCTCCATTGATGAGACTTCCAAAAAACGTTTCTAAACACGCATCCCGGCTGTTTACACAACACTATCACCTTGACATGGTGCTCGAGTGTTTTAGATAGGCGCCTGACATTATTGCAGAGTGTATCGTGTGCATTGAACGTTGGTTTGTAATTAAATTGGCAAGAAAAATACGCCCCTTTAGAAAAAAAGGCGAATTCTCGGCGTTGGGTTTGCACTTGTCACGCGCACCATGCGCACTGGGCTGTCATTGGTCGAAATGCTCATCGTGAGGCATTGGAGTCTTACTGAAGCCAGTAGAGACTGCTAGCGAGGAGAAAAACAACACCACAGACTTCTCTGATCTGTTTGCGCGCATAGACTCCATGTTCACAAGCTACATAAAACGCCCGTGTATTGTATGGTTTATTGTGGAAAAAAAAACATGATTTAGTAGCTAATAATAATAATAATAATACGATCATCATTATTATTATTATTAATTATGATAATAATGTTGTTGTTGTTACTACTATCATAAGCATCGGCATCATTACGTTTTAAACATAATTTCGCCCTTTCTATTTTCCTCTGAATATAAAGACCATCCTTTAATCGTATGTGATTTGTGATTTTTTGGTCCCCATTATTAATAGCATTGTTATTTTATTTTGTAATTAAATAATATCGAATTGTTTCAAACAATCTGAGATTAATTAATATTTTCTTTTTTCATCTGAATGTGAAGACCATCTTTTAATGTACTATATGTGATTTTTGTTTACTTTATGCTATGCTTTATCATTTTTCCCAGATACACTGGTGTTGGAGGTCACGCTAGTTAATATTGGGCCATTCTGACCTAAGACTGAAATTTGACACAAATGCTAAAATCAAAATTCCATGGATTTTCAATATCGTCTGTATCTGACATATTCTGGAAGTAGGCCTATATCAAATCTATAATTCATCCTGCTCCAGAACATTCTATCAACCCACATTTCATTATAAGTGTTTGGATGACTTTCTCCACCCCCCGAAACCCATTGGCTTTTCCCAAGCCTTTAGTGAGAACCCTCTAATTCATTATTGCAAAGCACAGCACTGTCTTGATCGGCGTCAGTGTCAGTTCAGCCCCAGCACAGTGGAATTTCACAGCAGCCATAATGGTAAGTGTGAGACTGGGAGGATGCTGTTTGATTGATAGATCCTTATAAAGTCAATTATGTCTGTTTGATTTGAAGTATGCTGGAAGCTCTGAAAATGCATTGGTGGTCATATGGTAGTATTAGTACTGTCAGTAACCTCAACAAAATATTAAGAAGTCATATAAAATGTGGTTGTACATGTTATTTTCATTTTATATATACATATTATATTATTTTATATTTTAAAACACACACACACACACACACACACACACACACATGTATGTATATATAATTTAAAGGACATGCTGACCACTTATTACATTTATTAATACTAAATAGCCTATGTGTATGTAGAAAGAGGACTATAGTATTATTAATTGTAATAAAATAGACTATACATAGCGTATACATTTAATATTGTAAGTGTAATAAGTCGTCATCATGTGTTTTTTTAATGTAAATATTATATATAAATATGTTAATATAGAAATGTTTTAAAATGTGTTAATACATAAACAGATTGTCTGTTTGGCTTGCAGGTCAGAACCAGCAACATGTTGGGAATTGTCTCTTTATGCATAGTATTGCTGCTGGGGTCAGAGATCTGCATAGCAGGTATTTCTAAAGTTGATATATAATGTAAAAGATAAATATTCCTGTGTTCTGCAGTTACTGTGTTTTTGTCTCATGTGAAATTGTTATGATGTAATGGCATCACGCAGCACATCATTTTATTTCTTGTATTCCATCTTAGAATCAGTTCTGTTTCTGCAAGGAATACAATCGAGGCATTAATTACTTTTACAGCATCTCGTGTAATTTCATAAACAGCAGCTATGATGAAATCTGTGCCAACTCGTCTTGTCCTCGCCGCATGAAGTTCTTGAATTTCACAGGCCTGTCATATGATAAATGGCTGAACAGTCAGCTGGGCACATCATCAAAGATAGTGACCACATCCTGCTTGGCACACTTCATACCCCATTCTGACAGAGAGGAAGTCAGCCAGCTGAAACCTTCTCAAAAATGGTTATAAATCAATTCAAAGCCTTGAACAAGCAGAACAGTGTTTAAGACATGCCAAGCTATGACAGCATGTCGAGGACCCTCTGTGTCTGTCATAAATTCAATAGGAGGAGCTGATGAGTGTCAGCATCACTTTATGGTGTTGATGGAGTCCTGAGGGCTTCGCCGAACTTTAGCTTCAGATACTCTTTGACTGCCCTTACCAGGCCTTCGTGATCAAGTGAAAAAAAAAAAACAGTAACTCCAATTAGTCACAGTTCAGCCCTGCAATGAGATGTTGTCTCTCACTTCTGAGAAAGTATAAAAACACAGCCAAACGTTGCGGGTTCCGGAAACCCGGACGCAGCCGTGCCATTCACTCATCATCTCCCTGAGATTCGCAGACGGATCGAGGATGGGGCTTTTTCGCTAAAGATTGCTGCCGAACAAAAGGTTCTTTGATGACTCTGGCTACTTTAAGATGGAGCTATTTGTGACACAAATGAAATGCAGCAGGAAGTGAGACTCCCAGCCAGAGAACTGATTTGGCAGATCAATAGAGGAGCCACTGAAATCTTGGCCATGTCTCTCTGTGTCAACTTGAGGTCACTTTTGAACAAACGCACTCTTGAACAGATCTGAAGTTTTCAAAAGTGTTTACTCAGTAGGACTCTGTTTTGTTTATCGACTTCAATCCCTTGAAATTTCATTCAACCTTTTGTTTTAACTGAAATGCTTATTGACGTTATGAACAGGGTCCTATGATGAGATCTTAGTATTATCTACACATCCGTTCAAAAGTTTGAATTTTTATTTTAAAGAAATTAATTGTATTCAGCAAGGAAAGAGATTTGAAATTAATTGCGTTCTATTCACCATGTATAACTGTTTCCACAAAAATATTAGGCAACACGACTGTTGTCAATATTGATATTTAGAAAAATGTTTCTTGAGCAGTAAATCAGCTAATTAGAATATTATTAAGAATCATGTGGCACTGAAAGACTGGAGTAATGGCTGCTGAAAATTCAACTTCACCAACATGAATAAATTACATTTTAAAATATATTAAAATAGAAACCAGTTATTTTAAATTATAATCATATATCATTTTTTATCAAATAAACGCAGCTTTGGTGAGCACATAAGAGACTTCTTTTAAAAAAACAAAAACTTACGACACGATAGTGTATATAAATGTACTTGTATTTATAATAATTATATTAATAATATTTGATTATAATTTTTCCATTTCAGCAAGGCAAGAGCTGATAGTTACCACCATAAAGGTAAGGATTAAAATAAGTTAAAAATGATCAAATATTATGTTATTTTGTGTTTTAATATTATTTAAATTAGCAATGATTTCATTATATGAATAATTTATTTATATTAACAACTTACATTTTTTAATTTCAGCAAGACCCCTATACAATGAGCAAGGGCTCGCAGTTGGAAGGCTACTGTATGGATCTGCTCGCTGAGCTGGCTAAGAAACTGGGTTTCAAATACAAAGTTCACCTGGTAAAGGATGGAGCTTATGGCCGACAGGATGAAAGTGGAAACTGGAACGGAATGATTGGGGAGGTTGTTAGAGGGGTATGTGATGTGCTTTACACAATACACAATACACAATAGTACTGGGATTGTACTGATGCACATAAATCAAAAACCAGCACGGCAATTAAATTATCTCGATGATATTAATCCTTCCTAAGTAGTGTCAAACCTTTCATGTGTTTTGTTCACAGGAAGCTGATCTCGCCATGGCTCCCCTCACTCTCACTGCTGCCCGTGAGAAGGCTGTGGGAATGACAAAACCTTACATGCAGACCGGAATCAGTATCCTCCTCCGCAAAGATATCGTTTCTGAAGAGGCCGGGTTTTTTGACTTCCTGTCCCCCTTCTCTGGGGAGACCTGGTTCGGCATCCTGATTGCATACTTTGTGACTGCAGTCTGCATCTGCATTGTGGGAAGGTCAGAGAAAGGAGGAGAACACCAGAGACACATAGAACAAGAGCCCTTACTCATTTACTACACTAAACATTTTAAACAATACTATTAGTAAAACTATAAAACTGCTGTACTCTTTTCCAGGATGGTTTCTGAATAGGGTTCTGAAACTCAATTCTGCGTTTGTCTTTTCTATCAAGGTTGAGTCCATGTGAATGGAGTCAGCCTGAGACAGAGCCAAATCGCTTCACTCTTCTCCACAGTTTGTGGTATGCTGCGGGAGCCCTAAGTCTGCAAGGTAATCATCTAAATGAATGTATGAGCAGTTTTTAGGGGTCATGCACTGAAAACCCCAAAGTCCTGACCCTTTGAATGCAGGAAATATTTGATCATCTTTCCAGTGTCTACCATATATTTTATGGCCATTTTGATCTGGTTTATTTACTGTTCGCTACATCTCTTGCAACATCTGTGGAATCTTCACCAAAATTATTTCAGATCAAGCCTAGCAATAATGACTTATTGGATTTTTTTGTGTGTGTGTGTTAAAAATTGTTTTGCATATCCTTATTGGTTTACAATGGAAGTTTTTCCTACAATAGTGATATATATTTTAAGTGGTCAGGTTGAATTTCATGTTTACATCAGGTCCGTCAGTGTTAATTTAGTAGTATTTATATACTATTATATCGTTTTTATTAATATTATGAATTAGCATTTGTTTTTATTTTTTCTGTTTTCATTTCAATTTTGTTATTTGCTTTTGAATTTATTTGTATTAATATTAATATGCTATTATATTAATATTAAATTAACATTTTTTATTAATAATACTGTTTAATTAAGTTTAGGCTTAATTTATTTTTATTTCAGTTTTAGTTCAATTTTAATAATAATTGTTTCCAGATGTTTTAACTTAAATTTAAAGTAATATAATATTTATATTATTTGAGCTTTATTTTAGTTTTTCAGACCTTTTTTTTAGTTTAGTTTATTTTTTATAACTATTTAGGTTTATTTTTATTTTTTTATTCATTTTCAGTTATTTTAGTCATTTTAGTGCTTCAAATTAAACTTATTTTAGTTAGTTGCCAAGGCATGATTTCTAATTTTCATTTAGTGTGTTTTTCATCTAATAATTATTTTATTTCAGCTTTATTTAAACTAACAAAAATGCTTTTAATGGTTTTAGTCAATGATAATAACACTGCTGTCCATAAACAGAAAATTTTCTAGCTAGCAGGATTTAATTTTTTTCAACATTTCAACATCACAGATGGCAATAAAGAGGCCAAAGTAGTGCACTAAGTGCATGAACAAATCTCTGTCTCTGAAGCTCTGTCTTAGAGATGCTTTGGTGTAAGAAAACAAAACTTGGAAAATGTCATCGCTGCCATACCCTTATAGAGTCCCTTATATTTCACGCCTGCACCTCCTACATATCAAAAGATATAAGCAATAATATACTTATATATCCTTTAAACCGGCTGTCTTTAAAAACAGGAATATGCAGCCCTACAATGTATTTTCCAGATAATGTATAGTCAGGTATATTTCACTGTGTGCTTGGCCCTTTATTGCTGCCTGCAGCTATTTTTCCTGCAAACTACTTTTCAGTCGTTGATAATGAAAGGATAACGTCTTTTCCTCTCATTTGTTTTGCTTTCTGCAGGTGCAGGCCCTCACCCTAAAGCTGTGTCAGGAAGGGTTATCAGTTGTACCTGGTGGTTGTTTGCCGTCGTGCTCCTGGCCTGTTATTTTTCCAGCCTCAGTTCCTCTCAGGGGTCTGACTCTGCACCGCTCATGATTAAAGGTTTTGAGGACTTGGCTAATCAGGATGTAATAGAATATGGAACACTTGCCAGCTCCTCCACCCTCGCCTTCTTTAAGGTCTAATCACATGAATTATATGCACATTCTTCTGATTACTCAAATTCATTCCTGCCAGATGTTACAGAAAAGATTTCCCAACATGTTTTCTTTTTGCACAGAACTCGAATAACCCATCTTACCGTCGTATCTATGAGCACATGGAGCGGAGAAAGAGTTTCGTGTCCTCCATGGATGAGGGTGTCCAGAAAGCAAAGGAAGGAAACTATGCTTTTATTGGAGAATCAGTGTCCTTGGACTTAGCTGTGGCACGGCATTGTGAACTGGTCCGGGCACATGAGGTCATCGGGATGAGAGGTTACAGCATTGTAACTCCTCTTGGTGAGACAAACATATTTAAGCAGTTTTTTTTAAATGGATGTACACTGTAAAAATTATTTATCACAGTTGTAAATAAAGATTATTAGAGTATGTTTTACAAGAAAATACTATTTTAGTCTTTACTCTTTCACAAAATTGCATGTTAAATTCAGTGTGTTACTTGCTGTTTCTTTGTAATTATTTGTAAAATTTACTACAGTTTGAGTGAAATTTTATTTTTTTTCCCCAAAGGAGTTTAAAAACGTATACATTAAAGCTGTAGTTAATAAAAAAATGCAAATTAGGTAAAAGTTTACTCATTCTCAGGCCATCCAAGATGTAAATGAGTTTATTTCTTCAGAATAGATTTGGAGAAATGTAGCGTAAAGTCACTTACTCACCAGTGGATCCTCTGCAGTGAATGGGTGCCGTCAGAACGAGAGTCCAAACAGCTGATAAAAAGAAAAAAATCACAATAATCCACAAGTAATCCACACGACTCCAGTCCAACAATTAATGCGTTGTGAAGTGAAAAGCTGCGTGTTTGTAAAAACAAATCCATCAAGGCATTTTAACTTAACCATCGCTGCTAGCCAAAATACTATAGTCCATAATCCATAATAACACTTCCTCCAGTGAAAAAGCATATCCCCTGTTGTCCTCTCACAACAAAATCCACATATTTGTTTTGAACAGTTTTGAGCTGTTTTTGCTTGATCTATACGTATTTCTTTCCTGATTCAGACAAGATGACTTTTTCACTGGAGAAAGCAATATTATGGATTATGGACTCATAGCTGGAAGCAACTGTTTGAAGTTAAAAACGCTTTGATGGATTTGTTTCTTACAAACACAGCCTTTTGCATCACAAGACGTTAACTAATGGACTGGAGTCGTGTGGGTTACTTGTGGATTATTGTGATGTTTTTATCAGCTGTTTGTACTCTCATTCTGGCACCCATTCACTGCAGAGGATTCATTGGTGAGCAAGACGGAATGTTAAATTTCTCTAAATTTGTTCTAATGAAGAAACAAAGCCATCTACATCTTGGATGGCCTGAGAGTGAGTATTTTCATTTTTCCATTAACTATTCCTTTAACTTTTACTTGAAAAATAACTTTTTTTGGGATAAATTATTTGTTTAAAGAGAGGCACAAGACATCTTGATGTTTCAGCTGTTGCTGCAGTTCAATCCAAGTAGGGATAATTGCATGCTGGAGCAGTGTGCCTGGCGAAAAATTAGGGCGTGCCGAAAGGTAGGGGCATGGATAAAGGTCTTTCTAACTGGTTAGGGTTAGGGGTTTACGCTGCCTTCATGCCAATGTTGTAATTCCCGTAATTCTGAGATGACAACACGAGACATTCTACTCAGAGCTGATTTATGTGTTTCTATGCCAACACTATCAATGCCAAAGCCTTCACATGCTCCAGAACACGTAATTACAATTTATAAGCTCTGAATGTTCTGTGAGCTACGACTTGGATCATGTAACAACTGTACCACCTGACCGCTACCAGGTTCATTTAAGCGCTACTTAAGCGCTACCTCTGAGTCACGCCACCTTTTGCCATGCCCATTACTTTTATTACTTACCATTGTCTCGTTCAATTTGCAGTGAATGGTTTTAATGCCAAAGTATGTTTTGGAACAGGATCTCCCATGCTCAAGAACCTAAGTGTGGCTATCCTGCAGCTGAGTGAGGCTGGGGAGCTAACGTACCTGCGCACTAAGTGGTGGGCTAGCAGCTGTATACCGGATAGTGCCAAAGGCTCGTCTCTGAGGGCCCATAGCATGAAGGGCATCTTCCTGGTTCTGGCTATAGGCCTTGGGATTGGAGTGCTGCTCTCCTTGTTTGAACTCACCTCAAAGTCTCGCAGCACTGCAGGGGAGCAGAAGGCAAGTAATGCCAATATAAACACACACACACACACACACACACACACACACACAAACATCTGAATGAACTACCACACTTGGAAGAACATTTACAGGTTTTTAGTGGTTGTTAAACTTAAGCACAGATTTCAACTGTACAGTAGCACATTTTGATACGTGTTTTTGTTTATTATAATACAGTCTGTGACAATAAACCTGTTCTCATCCATACAGAAATCCTGCTGCGCAGTTTTGACTCAGGAGTTGAGCCAGCGTTTGAGAATGACCAACACAAAGGGAGCCCAGGAAACCTCAGACAAAAACAAGGCATAAAATGCTCAACAACATTGATGTAATATGCAAGTCTTACATAGCAGAACGACTTTATTGTTCATAGATTTGTACATTATCTGGTGCTAGGTATTATTACTATTTCCCAAGTTAGATAATTATATATATTTTTAACATTTTATATTTTAACTGATTTAGATAAGATGCTCCCCATGACCCTAATAAGGACAAAGAGGTTTGGATAATGGAATGGATATATGGATGACGTCTTAAAAGTTTTATTTAAAGATACAGTTCACAACTTTGAAGGCATTTTTTTTATTATTAAAAAATTTCAGAACAAAATAAAGTATAATTGGATAAATAAATCAAAAATCAAACAAACTGCAATTGACCTTACAGAACCGGGCTAATAGTATTCAATATCCCACTTACAAATGTTGCAGGGAAATACAATTTCATAAAAACTTAAATGGCCAATTTTCATAAACAAGGCCTATTTAAAATGTAAAGTTTAAAACAAAGAACAAGTAAAATGTTTGGTCTAAAATTAATGAATTATAATGTAGAATTACAGTAAAGGAATACTTTATTATCATAAGAAGGGGTGAGCCACTGGCTCAACTTACCCCAGGACTTTTGGCTCAAATTACCCCACTCTTACCATTTTAACTAACTTGCATTGTCCAGCAGTTTAGAGCTAACATCATGCTAACAGTACAGCCTCATATTATAACTTCCTAAAGCACAAACACATGATAATTTTTCAGATTTGTCTGTAATTGTTCAGACACAAGAAGCATGAGTCCTTGAACATAAAAAGGTCACTTTGAACAGCAAAAAAATGTTTTTTGAACTTAAATGTAGTTAGCAATTATTCCATGGGCCTCTCTCTATCACAGGGTGAGTAAAATGGACAACTCTCATATATTTGTGGTCACATCACCAATTTTGTTTAAGGTTGTCAAGAAACAAGAGGTGGCTCAACTTCCCCACAGGCCCAAATCACCCTGCTCTCCCCTATTTTTATACATAATTTAATAATAATAATAAAAAACATTTTACATTTAAATCAAGCTACCTGTCTGTTCAGTAAAGCTGTTGCAATGAGACACGTTTTTTAATCTTGCAGCAAAATATTATGCAGTTTATTAGATTATTCTCATGCATTCCATCTTGAAACAATATAGAAACGTTTTAGACCAGAATTAGGAATCAAAAATGTTAAATATAAAATCTATTTTGTTAATGAATGACAAAGATTGAGGACAAGTAAAAAAGAGTACATTTGATTTTATGTTTGTTCAGTTATGTACACCAGAGGAAATGCTTGTAATAAATTCAGAAATGCAAGGAAATGCCTATAAAAAGTACAAGTAAAAATACATAAAATGATGTTAAAAGCATACTACTCTTACTATCACAAATGAGGTATGCATTCTGGCACCATGTATATTAATGAATTAATAAACTAGATTTAATACCCAAGCGTGATTGCATTTTTTAACAAACATGACTAGAAACATATGCTTAGTTTTAAACTGTGAATTGCAGCTTCCAAATGCAAAAAAACAAATGCAACATTCCAAGCTCCTTTATGAGATGATGAGTAAGATTTACACAAGATAATACTTGTACAAAATACAAATATGTATTTTTGTAATTGCTTTTCTTCCTGTAGCATCTGTCTATATCCATAATTGCAGTGTGGAATTTTATTTCAGTTGCTTCTTAGGTTTTACATGCATGTTTGTTTTTTCTACAATGTTGATGAATCTAAAAAAGATTAAAAACCCACCATAAATTAACATCAGCGAGATCTCTTGGAAGGTCAAATAAAAAGCTATTTTTATTTTGCTCTAGACATTTCAACCAGCATGAAAAGAGCATTAATTTAACATAATTTATCATTTAGAAAAGGCACTGTTCTGTGCCTTACGACTCACCTCTGAAAAACAGTGGTGAATGGCAGCGAATCTCACACATTTTCTGCTCAAACAGAGCATTCATTTCCCTCTGCAGTGTGCCCATTGTCTGCTGCTGGTTGTCAGGGAAACGGGATGGCAGAGTACTCAGGTCAAGGCTGTCCAAACTACTTAGGCTGCTTGATTCACTCTCAGCGAGGTTGTGATTATTAGGAACAGAGTTTTTTGTTGCAGAGTAACTGCACTGAGGGAGAGGGTACTGGTTGAGGAAGTCTTTCCTAATGTGATGGGGTGTGTTTGGTGGCAAGGGCGGATGGCGTCTTGGGACGCTTTGTGATCTGCGTCCTTTAAATGGTGAATCTTTGGAAGATGGTGTGTCTGGGTCATTCATGCGTCTGCTCAGCACAGGGGTTTCGGGGATTGACAATGGCTGCCACTGAGGGTTAAGCCTACCATCTAAAGAACGTCCAAATTTATTCCTGAGCACCATGTTTCTGGTGTTTAACGTTCCACTGGAAGGATCTAGTATACCATCAGGTATTGGATGGAAATTTAAGGGTTCACACTCATGTGTAAGTTGTTGAGGTTCATACATCTCAGGTTCCTGCTCTGAAGCCTCAATGACAGATTTAACGGCTGAGATCTGCTTCGACAAGGGCTGATTATTCAGTCTAGAAGCAGGAACCTTCATTTTAGATATTGCTACGTCTGCAGGCTCACACTCTGGTTTATTTCGTTTTGGAACAGTCAACTCTTTAGTATCCTCAAGGTGTGATTGAACCACAGTCTGAATGTCCAAATCTGAACTGTCTTTTGAAACAAATGCTAAGTTGGTGTAGTCCGTAGCCACTCCTGCTCCACCAGAGCATGTGATGGAGAACAGGTGGCGCTGTGCCTCATGAGATCCTTCTGGCTCCTGAAAACAGACCTTATGTGCCCTTCTCAGGGGTTCACTTTGAGCTCCTCTGAGCAAAGATGCAGACTGTGAGGTGCTCCTGCTGCCTTTCGAGCTCACGTCATCACTGTAACGTCTGTTTAGAAAGTCTTCTTTGGTGTAGCAGTCGGCTGAGCCCTTCACCACTTTTGCTTGGTTCTTTCCAGCACCTTTTCGCAGGAAGTTCAGACCAAAAGATGTCCTTGTGCCATCTTCAGAGGTCTGCATAAGGTTTTTCTGGATTAGCTGCTTTACTGCGTTGCTTGATTTGACCTGGTAATAAATATATCAGCAGAACAATTTTATAATATTAAAATGATGATTAACAACAGTCAAAATTTCTAAACAATGACAAAAGATAGATTTATGCAAAAAATCGAATAAAAAGTTACCTTTCCTGTGATGTCATTAATGGCAACATGGACAAAGATAGATGCTTCTTCCATGCCTTCTAAATAGACATGTCGATAGCCTGTGGAACAAGGAAATAATATAAGGCTGACTGACTAAATTATTGAAAAAATATGTAAATATATACATTATTCTCTGTCCAATAATGTCACCAAATGGTATGTAATTTACCTGGCATCATGCTTTTAAATGCTATGGTTCTCTGTCCAATGAAGTCTCTTCCAATTGGATCATGGTCCCAAACCATAAAGCGTACTAAGGCAATCTGAGGCATGTGCAGCGTAAACACAAGTGTCTCCTCCCACATGGGGTTAAAACCTGTTAATGTGGCATTAAAACATGGGCAATGTGTTACATTTGGCTGCACTATACTAAAAAGATTTTTGTGAAATTAATGATTTTTCTGTATATTTTAATATATAATAATGTAATATAATAATAAATATGTTAAATATAATGTAAGCCTTCTGTATAAAATAACATAAAATAAAAGTGGGTATAATGACTGAGTTGGAAAAAGGATCACCCCCTCCTAAAAATTACTTGTAAACTCAATCAGGTGTAACTAATCACCTTCTCAATGGCACACAAAGACATTTGACTTTCATCTGCGATAGGCTGTGGTCATGTTGATTAGCTCAGCCTGAAAAGAGCTATCCTGGAGCATTTCAGTCCTTAAGAGCCAGGAGGAAACTGGTCAGAGAGGCGACCAAGAGGCCAACAGCAACTTGTCAGGATAGAAGGAAAAATGGATAGGGCAATATACTGTCAAATTCTTGAGGAAAATCTGCTGCCCTCTGCCAGAAAGTTGTCAATGGG